TATATGCGTGTGTGTGGCGTGTGTGAGTGTGTGCGTGTGTGTGTGTATGTGTGTGTGTGTGTTCATATATATATATATATTATGCCATACGTATCGCTCTCACATCAACATACCATCCGGCCCCAGCTTCGCTTTTGGCCTGCGATCTAGGTTGATATTCCCTGCAGCAATACCCTCAGCTATACTGTCGCCAGTTTTCTTCTGCTTCATAGTCTCTTCCAGACTGCCATAGAAAAGTCGCTGCTTTTTCTTGGGCGGGGCTTCAGCATCGTCACTCATTGTGCCGTCCTCTAATAACTCCTCTTTGATCTCTGTGTCATTCTCTTCACCATCACTACTACTATCACTATCCCCGCTATGAGTTGTTTTTTTTGCGTTTGTATCTCCAATTGTGGCACCGTCCTGTACGCTGCCGTCGTTGCTGTCTACACCCTCTTTCTTAATGTCGATCTCTTCTTTGACTATTTGGCTGCCGGCTGCCGGCTCTTCCTTGACGTCTGACATGATAAGACCTTTGTACAGATCCAGGAATGTTATCTACGTATAAGGACAGAAATGATCGTTATGTACAAGCACAGAGATAATACTGGTAGTCTTATACCCGTATACAAACACAGGAATATCGAGCACACAGCTTATCACCACCCAATGAGAGATGCGTACCAGACACTGTGCAGTATCTATAGCCTAACCGTATGTCACTGTCCTTGTCCCTGGCGTCACAATCATCCACCTCCTCTCATAGACACACGGACGGCTGTATGTATGTAGAAGATAGCGCTAATAGTACACAGAAGCGTTTGCTGGCCTTGATACATGTGTCCTACACACACACAAAACGAACATACTTGCGACTGGATCTTGGCTTTTAGAGTTCTTAGGTTTCTATTTTCTTGGGTTGTCTTTTATGACTATAGCGTTTTAGGGGATGCAATGTAGGCGTTTGCAGACCATTCTTTAAACGTTGAATGAACTGCTCATGAACCCAGAGACCTCGACCACCATGAACTGTAAACTTACATGTTTACGTTAAACGTTTATTGAACATAAAAATGATGAGACTAGCTTTTTTATTAACAAAAATAGGTAAAATATGTACTCTTATCTCTCTCTACTCTTCTTTATCATTTGTAATAGACTCTTCTAGAATGCATATACTTATTGTACTCTTCTCTACTACTAGAGAGAGAATGCATACTTACTGTAATCTGTGTAACTAAAGCAGGCACAAGGATATAAATATAGTTCGATATATGCTGCTCAAGTCTGTAGGCAATTAGGCATTGACGGAGTGCTTGTTTGTGGCTATGTCTCGTTTGTTCTACGCGATGGACAATCTCGGTATTCGCTAACTAGTAGCCATATCTTCACATTGAGCTGAATTGGAAGAATATGAAGCAATTTCTGGACGGGTTGGACTTAACTTTATCAGGTAATTTGATCACCCACCCACCGATAACCTGTTGGAATTACGGCACATATGTTCAATTACGATGAAAACAAACGTTATATAGCACGCATGTCTTTTTGTCAATTTGTCAGGCAAAGGCACCTGCCACTCGACCGCTTGTGTTTTGCTGCAAGTATGTGTGCACACATTGAGTAATGTGCCTGCATATACAAGGATACTCGAGGGAGTCTCAATCAGTGGAACTGGAAAGCAATACAAATCAGACGTACTTATATTGTCCACCACACTGTTCATTACAGTACATCCGTATGCGACGTACCCTGTTTCTAATCGTTTGTGTGTGTTTGCTATCGTCTAGGGTACCGCCACTGTCACTTCACACACAGACTCTCCACTATCGAGACTTGGTATGAATCATTTATTGTTTCTACGGTACAGATACAGTATGTATGTGCCTGACTGTAAGAAACATATCAGCTAAACTCATAGATGAGTGTAAGGAAGTCGGGCCTTTTTTTTCGAAGATGTGGGTGTCTCTGTTTCCAAATTGAAGTTGAATTGCTATTTAGTACCCTGGTTTTGTCGCGTATTCAACTAGAGGTTCACATACATACGCATTTCAGCGCACGCACATATATTAAGGGCCAACGTGCAAGCACATACACACTGCATCAATACTGCAGAGAATAGCTGTTTCATGCCATGTTTAAATAGTGGAGATATTCTAAACACTGTCTCACTGTAGCACTGCTGTTAATCGTTAGGCCCATAAACTGACCATGTCCTCACAGAGTATTCCAACCAAATGGATGTTCCAAACAATATATATATATGTGTGTGTGTGTGTGTGTGTGTGTGTGTGTGTGTGTGTATGAATCTATGAATCTATGTATCTATGTATCTATGTATCTATATATCTATGTATGTTGTATGTATCTATGTATCTATGTATCTATGTATATATTAATATACAAATATGTAAATGTATATATATATGTATATATATATATATATATACTCAATCAAGACACGCATAAGGCGTGTCTGGTTGAGACCAAAGTGTGTGCGTTTGGTCTGCTACTATCCGCATACATAACTATATCCTTCAGCCCCGTACAAGCACGCGTGTGTCTCGTTATGAGCAACGATCTTTTATGCTTACAAATATAAATACATACTCTTTGGTAACGATGACGCTCCAGGACTTCACTTACGTCTTTATGGCTAGGTCATGTTTATTAGGGACAAAGCGTGTGCGGGGCCATGCTTATGGACGTCTAAACATTTATCCTATGACTACCTACGCTATGCCAACCTACATGTATCCCATATCCACAGCCCATACAGAAGCGCACAATCGTACATCTACCTGCACCTACTTACACGACCTATCCCGCTCTCAAACACATACACATACTACACCCGTCGCAGCATCTCTGTCACAGGACCACCGCCGCATCTTCACGGCTAAGGCGTGCTTGTTCGGGGCCAAAGTGTGCGTGGGCTATGCACACCCAAACACCACACACTTGATCTGCACCGCGCTATCGACGCGTGAGATCAATGAGGACGATGTGTGCAATATGCAGGTGCTTAGTGCCTTGTGCAAGTGTACGTCCCCGACCTGGCTGAGTGAGTGTCTGCGCCGGGAGAGCCTCATTGTATGTTCTTTGTGTGAATACATGGGGTTAGTTGCAGCCACCAACTATATGTACACTTATATATATATATATATAAAAGGTTGCAGTGGTCCGTTCTGTGTTAAACTGTCCTTACCTCTGGTACACACGTAGTCAAAGCTGAGAAGTAGTATTCCATTCACCGGGCGAGTGACGATCACTGGTGTGGCGTGGCTGTGTGTGTTTATGTACACGTTTATGTGTATATACCACGCACGTATACATAGCCGGGGAACCATGTTTTGTGCATTGAATGGATACGTTTATATGTATATATTACGCACGTATATACGGCTGTGCATGTGAACCATACGTTTATATGTATACATCACGTAAGTATGCAGGGCTGGGGAACCATGATATGTGCATGGGAATACATACGCTATTATATATGTAATGGGTAGCCTAGAAGACCGAACTTTCTCACTCCGTAACTGATCCACCCTCATCGAGATGCGTCTGTGTGCCTTGTGTCACTTTGTTGATGGCTATTCGTGACGTTCTAGTGAATTCACTGAGAAGATTAGGGGCTCGACTGGACGGACCGGTCCAAAAAATAAATGGTTTGGGCTGTCCGAGATGCAGACAATCTCTGTGTATTGTTTTGCGCATCGCACCCTCCTTTTTTTTTCTCTCTGATCTGGTTGAAGTTTTATCGCGATGCTCTGGACCTGAGTGTATTTGTTTGTGTCTGTCTATGTCTGTCATCTGTCTATATCTGTCTTTTAAAATACAATGTGTCTCGATGTCCTGTATATGTCGTGGGTAGCGTCTTCAGGCGATAAGTCATGAATATCGAGGTGTTCACTTGTTTAGTGTTTCACTGCAAGTGCATACAACAGTCGGTTGCTGATGACATATCGTTGATTCTACACGTATAAGGCTGAATGGTTGGTGGTACACAGTTGTTCTTGATATGACATTGATTCTATGAGTGTATGGTATATATATATTTATATATATATATTTATATATATATATATATATATATATGTGTGTGTGTGTGTGTGTGT